CAAGTGGATGTGGTTCACCAATGAAAGCTCCTGGTTATGGTCACCGGTCTGCCTTTTCAGTTTTCTCACCTGTTTGGCCTGAGTTAACTGTTTCTTTATAAGATATCCTGTTCGGCATCGTGGACGGTGTGGATTAGCAGGACCATATTCAAGAGTGAGACGCGCATATTCCCCCGCGTCGCACTTCTTGCACCCCCCCCTCTCAAGAGATTGCGCGCAGACTTTACGACTTTCCATCAAAATTCATCAGCCTCATCCGAAGCCTACACGACATAGTGTTAGCGAGTTTGCAAACTACTAAGTCTACTTCAAGTGATTTCGACATCCTCACTTGTGTAAAACAGACGTGCGTCTTCGACCCCACTCTATCCAATTTCTGTCCAACGACTATCGTGGACGCGGTTTCCGTGAACGACCATGCTGGCATACAGTTCAAGTATCGCTTTGATGGGCATCTGTTTGTTATTAGATGTTTTGGTGCGAGGAATCTGGTCCATCAGACCAACAGACCCGCATTTTCTTTGCGGGGAAATGTTCATAGTTAATGACAACAATATCGGGGAGTTTTGCAACTGCTGCTCAGTTCGGCCAAAGCATCAACTTAGGAAACAATTTCGTTGTGCACCAACCTTGGTCAGGCGGAGTTTTCAAAAGTGACAAGACTGGGACGGAGTTTGTGGACTACTGAACGGAATTCCGGTACCTCGGAAGTACACTGTTTTCCGTTGAACGTGAGCTGAGTTTCCCTGTTGTCAAGGCTAATGTAGCTCTCAATGCCCTTAAGGAACGGGTGTTGAATAACCGAACACTATCGGATACAGTGGTCTGTCAGCGGATTAATAAATCTTACCTGGCCTGCCTTGGCTTTCTGAGGAGATGGCTGCGCTTGCGACGGTTCTAGAAGGGACTTTCTGTAATGGCCGTTGTGTAACTCAAAACCTGCCTTAACGCACTAAGTTAGGTTGGTAACGGCGCCGTGTGTGCGGGGCCATCGAAGTAGTCCGATGTGATCGGTCAATCCAGAAACGGATTCCAGCCCACAATGTAGTAAGTTAAACTAAAATGTTTTGATACTGCTTTGAGGTATCCGATGTGCAGCGTAAGAAGTAATCAGATGTTCAAGTTTTTCCTCTTTCAGGCGATTGGACAGCCGACACAATCGATGGACGGTGTTGTGGTCCAGCGAGAAGAAGAAAAAGAGAACCACCACTATGCAATATAATCATCATCTTTTCTGTTCACTGTACACAGTGTTCAAGATGTACCTGTTACCCGTCCAATCACTGCCCATGTACGTTTTCATACTGTTTGTCTTCTCTTATCCTTTGTATTGTCATATAAAACAATTCTCACCCGTTATACTCAATCTATCCGCTGATGGCGAAAAGACTGGCTGCCCCGATCAGCAGCAGCACCTGTCGGACTTCATGAAAACTACGCAGATTATCGGAAGGTTGCCGCGAAGATAGATTGAACGATGGGGAAAAGTCAGGCCACAATGACTCACCAGTGTTATTTTCGTTATCCCGACTTTTTAGGATTCACAGCTCGTAACAGTCAGGTCTTTAGACACAGGCTACCCGGTGGACCAATAGGATTGAAGAACTGCATATCCAACACCTCACGAAGAGACTGGACCTTATCGTGGTGTGACGGTTTGCGCACCTCAGCGATCCATTGAGCTATCATCTCAAACAAAGAAGAGCGCCTCGATCGATGCGCTTGACGGTTTGCCTCAGCGATCCATTGAGCTATCATCTCAAACAAAGAAGAGCGCCTCGATCGATGCGCTGAACACTTCGAACAACAACTGTCTGTGCCACCAGCCGGCACTCATCTACAGCCCACAAATGAAGTAGAACCCTGGACGGTGAACGTGGAACCACCTACGGCCTCGGAGGTTTACGACTGCATATGTTCTCTCAAGCGCCACCGAGCTCCCGGTCCGGATGACCTTCCACCCGCACTGTTCAAAGACGGCGGTGAAGTCCTCAGTCAGCGCTTGTCCGATCTGTTTGCTTGCATTTGGGAAAAGGAGTCTGTCCCAGACAACTGGGGAGAATCTGTGATAGTGCCCATTTTCAAAAAAGGGGCGCGTAGTGAGTGTGGTAACCACAGGGGGATCAGCTTGACCCCGGTTGTAACGAGACTGTTGGCGTCAATTGTGCTTCGTCGCCTTACGGTGGCTCGTGAGATGCTGACTCGAGAGCAGCAAGCGGGATTCCGGCCTGGTAGGGGTTGTGTTGACCAAATCTTCACACTGCGTCAGGTGCTAGAACAACGCCATACGTATAAGCGACCCACGATTCTAGTATTCCTGGATTTCCGAGGCGCATTCGACTCGGTTGATCGGTCTGTTCTTCTTGAGACGCTTGCCCACCAAGGAATGCCCCGGAAGTTTGTAAACATAATACGTTCTTTGTATTCTCAGACTTCCGGACGTGTGAGAGTGTACGGAGAGCTCTCCAAAAGCTTCCGCACACAAAGCGGTGTCCGTCAGGGATGCCCACTCTCTCCATTCCTTTTTAACTTTGTGATCGATGAAATAATGAGACGAACGCTGGAGGGTCTCCAAAACCCTGGTGTTCAAATAGCCAGTGAAGAAAACCTTGTCGATCTGGAATATGCAGACGACATCGTTCTCATGTTCGAAGAGGAGGAGAAGGCGCAAGTATTCTTGGATGAACTGACCAAAGTCATCCCGTCCTTTGGTATGCATTTTGCACCCACAAAGTGTAAGGTCATGCTTGTGGACGTGCAGTCACTGAACACGCCCCTTACAATCCAGGGAGAGGTACTGGAAGTTGTGGAGCGTTTTACGTACCTTGGAAGTTGTATTAGTTCTGATTGCAGTGTGACAGATGAGGTGAATGCACGAATCTGCAAGGCTCGGGCCGCGTTTGCTATCTTGAGACACCCATGTCGTCAGAATGGTTTATCCCTGAATCTGAAGGGACGTGTGTATCAAGCTACAGTACGGGCTGTCGTGTTGTATGGCTGTGAGACTTGGCCTATTCGAGCAGCGGACCTGAGACGTCTTCAGGTGTTCGACAATCGTTGTCTCAGAACCATAGCTCGCGTGGGTTGGTGTCGGCGAATCCGTAAAGAGACAGTTAGAAAGTGTGTTTTCGGTTGTGTAACGGGTACTTCTATTGAAGAATGTGTCCAGCACCAAAAGCTGCGTTGGTTGGGACATGTGTTACGTATGCCGAACCATCGTTTGCCGAAGAGAGTACTGTTTTCCATGCCCAATTCGGAGTGGCGTAAACAGCGAGGTGGCCAACCCTTGACTTGGCAGAGGAGTATGAAGGAGATCACGAAACGCTTGGGTGCTGTCGGTGCCACCCGCCTTCCAGGATGGGGACCGCGTGATCCTCACTGTTCCTGGTTGGAGACACTACAAGATATGGCTGCCAACCGATGTCAGTGGCGTTCTTGTTGTCAGTTTCTATCCAGATTGCCTGAGTGAATGTCTGGAGGTGTAGGCACCTCGGAATGATTGTGGCAAGCCAACACCAAGTCCCTTTCCTGTTCTGAAGCATCGGTGTTGAACACTGATGTCATGCTGTCGACGATGATGATACCCAACATTGGATGGCGTTGGCTAGTGCTTATCGAATCTAAGTCCAGATTATCAACCAAAAATCTTCAGGGTGGATAGGGATAAATACAACGTGGGTCGTTTCAAGCTTTCTTTCCTATCCTAGAACAAAACCTTGAAAAAGCACTCCCTAGAAACCTGTATTTCATCACTCCCCAAAATGGACTTTAGGACGCACCCGGGACATCCAACCAGGTTAGGGGTGACCGTGACGGTGTTCAAGGGACGCTACCAAAGCTGGCAATATCACATTTATTTTTCATAGGCTTCGATGCTTGAAACAGCGAGATGCCCCAACACAATGTGGAGATCAATGAGTCGTGTGTTTGACGTCAATTTCAAAGTTTGGCAATCACAAATTGAAAGGGGCAGAATACAACGGATTAGAAGTCAAGGCAAGTAAACGAAGTAGACGGGCCTACTATCTTTCAGTAGATACTAGATGAGAATATTATCAGTGATTATTATTATTATTATCAGAGATGAAGTTGAGCACATATCCAGCCTTGCATATATCTTGAGCTAGGTCAGGATTATCCGAGACTTAGCAGTGGAGCGTGAACAGCTGTGCGTATCTCAACAAGTCATTCGTTTTGTGATTGGCCAATGAGTTTGAAGTATCATCAGCTGTAAAACCGCGCTTTTGCTTTACAGTGGTTCCAGCTGCCGAATTCCTCCACCGATGATTTTAGGAGGGGCTAGGTAGCTGCGGACTGGAGTAGTAGGTGATCTAATGGAAGCGTAAATACAGGGATTTCAGCGGATATTTTTGGTAGATTGGGACGGGAGCTATGCATCATTAGGGGCTAGCGATCTAGACGATATCCAGTGGTCATTTGATTGTATCGGAGAATTCGGACTGAACGCCGCTAGCACAGCTCCTTTGACAGCTTACGATGCTTAATGCACGTGCTAGCTGCCAGTACAGTGTTGGTTTACTGTAGAGGATTGTTGAGCTACCTAAAATCGATAGTGGTGAGCTGTGGTCATTTTGCGAAAATGTGTTGATTGGCGTATTTCTGGCTGACTTACGAGGGTCTGAAGGGAAACAAAATCCACCGCGTGCTCGCATCATGGCGGAAAAAAGTTGCGCGACCCAGAAGGAACGGCAGTCTTGAATCATGGTTCTCCACTGATGCCTGAGGGCCACGCGAACAAACCGGGTCCATGGTTCATTTGCAGTTGATGGCCACCAGGTTTCGCAATGCGAACGTTTATGGTGAACGTTCGTACTGGCCAGAAAGAGTTGATAGTCAGCACACATCTGGAGTTGCTCTGTGTTGTCTGCGACGCACATACACTCCGAATCGACCACTCAGATGCAATTGCAAGGGGTCGGACGATCAAATTGTGTATTCATATCGTCCGCAGGGATCACACTTTCAGTGCTCGCTCGGCGAATGAGTTTGAAGCCGAATTGAGGTAACTGTAGTGTACTGACAGTACACGCGTTTGACAGATGAAATGTGTTGTAACTGACTGTAAATCTGGGCACCAGGACCTTAATGATGGAAAAAGATTCATCCAAGCACGAACACAACAGTTTTATTGTGAACAAGCGAATGCAAGATTACGGGGAGGATCGCGGTACATAAGGTGGATTTTTATCCACAATGTCGAGTGCTTGATTGGCACTGCCCTCAAGACGCCCGAGCATTTCCATTCGTCGCTGTTTGAACGTCTAATCGATAGCCGGTTCTTCTTGCCCGGTCATTTGGCAGTCTTCCTGAAACGATGTTGGCAGAGTTCAAGGACATTTTGAAGCTATTTTTAGGAAGTTTACAAAACTGACCTTGTGTCATTACACCTAGGTGGTAAGTGTCTTTTCAATGTTCATCGTTTTGGGCAGATCGACGAATCAAAGCTGGACATTGGCAAACTCATCGCGGTACTCACGAAGCTGCAAACTGATTGGACTGAATATGAAGCGCCTGGTCACAACGAGGTTTGCGGCAATGATACTCTCTTGACACTCTTCAGTGCTTCAGTTGTGCGACTTGGTATAGAGTTAATTTACTTACTTGACCCTACCGAAAGAACCAATAGAAGTGTAAAAACGAGTGACAGTGAGGTGATGAATCTGATTGGCTTTGTTTAAATGAATGGATAGAGCATACGTCAAGTAACACAGTAGTCGATGTAAGTTAAAAAAAGGAAACTGTACAAACGAGGTGATGAGCGATAAATCACTGGCCTGGTGTAGAACATGCCATTGAGAATGAGCTGATGGCGCTTTTGACCGTATTTAAAGGGACAGCACTTTGGGTTACACCTCGTGCGAAACAATTTCGTTCAGACAAATTTACACGCAAGATAGCATTTTGAACAGCCATTGTAACGGACTGATGGTGTGGGGTACGCGAAACAAAAGCAGACCAATCGGAAGGGTAATCTGTACATCCAAGCAGTGTCCGAAGAAGGGCAAACTGCTTATCTGGAAAGAATATCCGTAACGAGGCATAAAGGTCAGAGTATTTGTTCACCAGGCGCCGAGGAAGGGCACCCTTCGCAAGAACTAGCAGCAAACCAGCATGAATTTCGAAAAGGAAGTCGGGCGTGATTACCTTGGGCAATACATGGTGATGGTTTTCGTCGTTCAGTCGCGTTAACAGCCGTTGACACAAATGGATACAACAATCGACCGTGTTCCATTCCGGAATACAGAGGCCAGCGAATGTTGTAGTAAATGACAGTCTCCAAAAAAGGGCCTTAGAATCACCAACAAACGATTCGTAAGTATTGAGCAAGCAGGTTTTACACACATACTCGACAGTGGACTCCTGAAGGTAGGGGTAGACGACAAGTGGTAGGTAAAAGGCCGGTGAGAGTTGAACGGAATTTCGCTATGAAACCTCATTATGCCAATGAATTCCCATGCCTATTTTAACATAAACAGCACAATAGAAAGGGTCCAGATAAGTTTGCATAAAAACAGCATTTAAAAGAGTGTAGTGGCAAACTAGGGTTAGCACAAGACATCAGTATATGTGAATCAGTAAATTAGAAAAATCAATAAAAACGCGATAACTTTGATGAATCGTACGCCGTCACCCTTTTTACCTCAAGACCGAATTAAATTGAACTCAGACCTCGTGCATGCAGATGAGTTGATAGATGTGGTGGATAATCTTGCCTAACACAACAGCTGCATGAGTCCCGGTTGACTGGTAAGAGATAAGGCAAGGATGGCCGTTAAGAAACTCCAGTACATACAGCAGTTCATATGGTAAGGGCAAAGGCTGGACGATCCACACTGCTTTATGGGTCAGCAATGTGGCTAACACGTGCCGATGTGTTTGAACGCTGTTCTCTCGCGGCGAACGCAGCGTGGCAGAATGAGCCAACACACCCTGAATTGAACTGGATAGTCTTTCCGGACTAATAGTTCGAAGGACAGTCGAATCCGTAAAACATAAATTTATGGGGCACACGTCGCGTGATAGATAGTGAAAACATGCTTAATTCTAAACGAAAAATACGATCGGACAAAATGGTCTATTCGATGGAAACTAGTAGGGAAAACCACGATGGGCGAGCGACATGTCTAGAAAAGTATGGGATTTCTGTCATTGGAACAGAGAGGAGGTGAAGAAGAATGTGGCGAGAGTGAAGCAGTTCGGGTATTATTTCCTAAACTCTTGAACTGTCCTACCTTTGTGTATAAATAACCACAAATGTGATCGTGGAAAGTTTCATAAAAATCTTTGATAGTTTAATCGGGTGCAAGCCACAGACAGCTAGTTTTTTCACTACGCCCACAAATCTAATTGTTTACCATTACCAAACAATGCCTTGTTCGCAGGCCGAACTTATTAAGTGCCTTTGGTTGGTACCGACTAAAGAGCACCTCATCAATACTCAAACGTTACAGTGATGTACGCCTGAACCTTCGTTTGAATATTATGACGAAACTAGTGATCCAGAATAGAGGGACTGACCTTATTTTTTCTCTGCCAGTCTAAAACATGATGTATAAAGGTTGCACAGGCCTCAACTTGATCAGTGATATCTTGAGCTCTCAATCCCATCAAGATTGGTGGAAAAGGATGTTCCAAACACGCCCCACGACCGAAGTCCAACATGGGATCAGAATTGTCGAGCACGCTGACGGCTAGGCGTGTGAACACAGTGTCAACGTGTTGGAGCACAGTGCCTAGAAGATGCAGACCAACGGAGAAACGCGACTCGAGCATCGGATCCCGGAGTAGTGTATCAATCACTAGCCAGGATAATTCCAACGAATGTGGAAGCAGATGATCGGATGTATAGTTTAACAGCCGTGAAGTGAGTTCCACTGTTCGTTGTAATAAGGAATCGTGACAATGTAGACTTGAAGGATTCTCCATGGTTGGTGAGAAGCAGGCTGAAAAACCCGATTCCAGCAGTTCTGTAACCTGGTAGGTGAGGACAGAGAATAAATTTATTACTATAAACCAAAAGTAAGTATTTGGGGCCGTAAAATGTCTACAAATAAAAAATGCTGCGCGCTCAAGTAAATAGAATGTATTAACTGCGAAAACTACACTAATTTGCGGATCGATTTGGTTTTCACCAGTGAATCAAGTGATGTTCTTCAACTGGATGTGCTGCACACAGGCCGCCTCATGTTTGAGTTGGCACGATATTCGAGATACCGCAGTAGATTTTCATACAGGAAACTACTCACAAGGTCGAAGAGATTTCAACAATCTTGTGAGTAGTTTCCTTCATGAGAATGTATTAACCCTGAAACAACGGAAAATATGGCAGTTTTGGGGAGGTGCTATTTTTGAAGGTTTTCCCTTCATGTCATCAAACGAGGATATTCTCATATCATAGTGTTCCCCAAATCCAAACTATCGGGAACTTACAACAACCCAAACTTTCAAGACAATTAACCGGCAGGCGAGATCCAAGTTTTAACAGACCGAAAAACAAGCGAAATGCATTTGGGCAAGTACACGTTCTGGAGATTCTTTCAGCGTACGTCCATTGGTTTCAATCAGGGCTGAAACAGCTGCAATGTTTCTCAGCACCCGCAGGGTGAAATCATCGATGAAATTTCAAAAGCTCCTCATACCACCAGCATCTGGAGAAATCTCGTTCTCTTAACAAATGGCTCCCAATTGAAAAGGAAACTAGGCACTAAACTGCACTTAGTTTGTCACTGAGGGGAATTCAAGAGTTGAAAATCAATCGAAATGAATTTATTTCCAGATGGAAACGTGATACTTGGGACTCTTATCAGCTAAGTTTAAGGAGGAGCATCACTAGACTCTTCTTTCACTCACAATTCCAAAATTGTCGTCTCCAAGCTAGAAAGGACACAGGAGTGTTAAGAGGATACCCAAAAGACCTCCCTGATGCGTTGAAACTTACCATATTCTAAGAAAACACGGGACCTGATGAGCGCTATGGGACATTACAAAACCACAGTCGAAAAATGTTACCCAGTTCTAAACAGGGTATTGTGTTCACATACATTCACAGAGAGCGAGACGACACATTGGTCTCTCAGCCGACGCGGTCTCGACGACATAACAGTTGACAAATTGCCAGGTCACGTGATGTCTCGGGATTGACTTCACGAAGAATGACGAATTACGGATCAAGCAATTGGCGAACTGGGGTTTTACGACAAACTTGCTGTTACGAGGTTAGGATCCATAAGGGGTGATGACGCAGTTGTTAAAAGGTGTACAACAAAGACGTATATTTATATCATTCACAGCATTCATTTCCGCTACACGGTAATAACCAAAGCAACATCTACCATTTCAATGGATTCCGGATCAAAGTAGCCCATTTTGTTGGTGAGTGACTGCGTTAGATATGCAACCAGCTGAAGCAATAGCCGCGATATATTATCTCGGATTTGAGCCCTCTCGATAATGGGCAGGGAAGGACCGACTGCATCATCACACGTATAATCATCCATTCTGTTTAATGTCTTCGACACTCCACGGAACAATTCCACGAATGGTTGAAACTGAGAGGATAAACAAAAAAAACTAAATGTTTGTAATTACGAGGTTAGGATCCATAAGGGGTGATGACGCAGTTGTTAAAAGGTGTACAACAAAGACGTATATTTATATCATTCACAGCATTCATTTCCGCTACACGGTAATAACCAAAGCAACATCTACCATTTCAATGGATTCCGGATCAAAGTAGCCCATTTTGTTGGTGAGTGACTGCGTTAGATATGCAACCAGCTGAAGCAATAGCCGCGATATATTATCTCGGATTTGAGCCCTCTCGATAATGGGCAGGGAAGGACCGACTGCATCATCACACGTATAATCATCCATTCTGTTTAATGTCTTCGACACTCCACGGAACAATTCCACCGAATGGTTGAACTGAGAGGATAAACAAAAAAACTAAATGTTTGTAACATGTAACCAGAATTTCATCCTTGTAAAATTCTTGCGTATTTTGCCTACGGGCTGCTTCCAAAAGACGCTATCACAAATGCCTACATGTAACTAAGTATTTTCGAGGCATTCTGAAAGAGCCTATGATTATCTATAGAGTAATATGAAACTGGCTACTTCTGTACTGCTTTCAGATGCGGTCAGGATTGACCGCTTTCGTGTTGAAGGAGTCACATTGAGGTTTAGAGGGAAGACTACTTCATAGGAAGGCCCGATGGCAAATGTCGAATCAAGGGAGTCCGAATCTCGAGGCTCCTGACGAACCGAAGATTGACATTAAACGGTGATAACAGAAATGCCTTTCAATTTTTCTTACCTACTTGTAAGTTTCTTGGTACGTTTCTGCAACCGCCACATTCGTCCAGGATTTTCGTGGTGGGCATTTAACAACTTTGTGTAAACTGGCATTTTGTGCAGATAAGCGCTCACTTGCCAAACAACAGTCTTAACATCAAATGAATCTCCAAACGAATGTGCGCACAAGTCACATTCAGTTTCCGGACACTCGTGAGCGATGGGGCCGATCGATTTACCTGAACCACAGATTGAACCTGAAGCAGACTGAAAGCAGTTATCTGCGTGACGTCCATTATAACACTTTTTTCGGCAGGGATGTTGATTCTGGACGCAAAGCAATGACGAAAACTTCTTTGGGGCCAAAGCTAACTAAAAAAATCTAACTGACGGTAGTGAAAACTTTGCGATGCTAGAGCTGTCGCAACGACTTCGGTCCAATAGGCAGTAATGTCATCCAGCCCATCTGATTAACTGACTTCAATTCGAACGGTCGACGTCCATCTAGATATTCAAACAAGCGAGAAGAAAGATTAAACCTGAGTAGGTTGGTCAACCAACCGATAACATGGTCGGCCGAGCCTGGAGTTTGGGACATCTTTGATAGGCCAACTAGAAAGGAGGGAAAATAGGTTTGAAAAGCGAATCTGACGTGCCCGGACAGCTAACTCCGTACCGTGATTTGAATATCTACTGCTATGAACTCACCAAAGTAACCACATTTGCTTTGGGAGACCTGGAGAGATGTGAAGATGACGGATCTATAGAGAGGAAAAAAGTGACAGTAGAAAAAAGTGAGACACGGCGCGAAAACAACGTTAAGAAACCAAGAATAAATGGGTCTTTTTGAAAAACTCGCTAGAGAACATACTGTGAATCCGGCCGCCGGTTAATTCAGTAGAATTTGGAATGAAATGCGAAGTCTGGTGAGCACACTTAGGAGATATCTCGACATAGCTCAGAGGTCGAGGCAGAATGAGGAGTATCAATACCGATCAACCTGCTACTGAATTCCAACTATCACGATGAAATGATTATGTAAACACAATACTAAAAGGAACGTAAAAAAGGAGCTGCTTTGCTCGGAATTCCATTGAGTTTACTTGATTAACTAGCCCCCAGCTGACTCGAATTATCAACTAAAAAATCAACGACCTCAAACCAAATGCCTGGTTAATCCAAAGAGCACAAGATCCATTATGGGTATTACCAGTGGCATACAGCATGTCGACCAAATGTGATGCTCTAACTGCGCTCAATACCTAATAGTGCTTGTTGATTTAACTTGGTACGCTTTGGAATATTTTAAAAACACCAGTAGTGTGGTTGTATTGTTTTTGCCTTGATGCTCCACCGCTTTGAATTACTCAGAGGTTGTTCACCTTCACCGCATTAGCGTCAGTTTTGTATCACCAACGTCCTCCCGGCAATTAGATGCCGGAGCTTCTGATAACACATCCATCCTTCAACTGCAAACTAATCATGTGAGCAAAAAGACCTGACAACAGTAACAAAACTAACATCCTCCTTTTTCCAGCTTCTGATAACATGAAGATATGCAACGAATCGCAAGAGAATATTATCGCTGTGAAAAATGCACATGCCTGCCTGTTCGTTTTCTATGCATTCCAGGTTCACTTTGGTCTCTTCCAATCGCAAGTGAATCAGTGAGCTGAGTGATATGCTACTGCCACAAAACGGTAACAAAAGACCAACACATTTCCAAAGTTGAGCCTCCAAATTTACGGATAAGGGAAGCAGACCGGTACTGATCACACCCAATGTGGAAATGATGCGTTCCGATTGCGTGATTGTCAGGGGAAGTTCCTGAGAGAAAGAAAGGTAAGCGAACACTAGCTCGGGTGCCAAAGCAGAATTTAATTACTGGAATATATTGTTACGCAAGAAGTGGGTGTTTGAAATTTCAAAACAAGGCCAGCGTTCCCGTATCGACTTATTCAGAAAGCTTCCAAGAGGATGTGTGTACCCCGCGAGAACTCAAAATTGTTCTCTGATCACGGAAAGGATACGTGGCCAAAGAATCGGTCTCACTTAATTCCATAATCTAATCCAGCGGCGAAATATTCACATAAGCCATTTCATTGGTTTCGGATTAGGTGGCTGTTGATCTGTTAGCTGAGCTTCGCAATTGACTTGCAAACATTTCGTCACCATATGAGGAAACCTCATTAGTGTGCAGTACCACCAATTGTGATGACACTTGTGTTATTACTGATACAGGGCATTTTCAGTCCCTCCAGAACGCCCTTAATTCCACAAATCCGAAAAACCCTGTTAAATCTGAGTGAGAATCACATGACAACTTACCTTCGCTGGATATATTAATTTGGAAGCCGGCAGGCTCTTGCAGCGGGAACAAATACAACCGTTACTGGGAGACTACAGCTCACCTTGGTGTGACGGCTTGTGTGCCTCCGTGACTCATTCAATTATACTGGGTGGTGCCTGTGAGACAACCACGGTCTCTCACACCAGATTGACCAACGGCTAGAGGTCTGATCAACAGTCTCCTACCTTCATAAGTTGGAACATAGATGGTCATTTGCTCTACAAAAAATGGCAAAGCACTCGAATTCCCCACTGCCTTGCGGCAGATTTTGGTTGAGGACACTAATCGTACTCCTGTCTAGGTGTGCGCACCCTGACGGCATCCCAGCCCGCGTACAAACATGAACGTCACAACAAAAAACATTACCATGCCACACGGTCCGTCACGTGGTGTCAACACCCAGGTAACTTTATCGCCAGAGTGGGTAGGAAAAAAATGCTACGAATGACGCCTCACTTCTTACACTTTCACGTATTCCCACTTCTACCCTACGCAACCTCAGTTTAAACACTACGCAAGTTCAAGCAGTAGGACTGACTGCTTTGTTCGCCATGTACCCCCTGCGCTTCTGTGCGTCCGACCTTAGACACCGCGTACTCTGTTTTCAAACCTCACTCAAGGATCACATCCTAAAGCAATCAGATCAACAATCGGCTCTCGTTCATACGCTGAATTCCCTCTGTATCGATATATGCTGTCTGTCAGAAATTAGGATGCAGGAGGCAAGTACTGTGATTGAACTGACTGCTCCCTCGCTCTCTTCCAGGTTTCGGGAGCGGTTCTGGTTATGCGGACACCACTGTAGCTGGATACGCTGAGGGTGGGTATTATATTCAGAGAGTGACTCTGCGTGGTACATTTGACGACGTCGGGAACACCAGAGTCGACTTCCAACACGCAATTATCGGCCGCTTCATTTTCGCTGTGCTTTTCAGGATCACGCAAAACGCGCACACCCGGCTTAGCTGCTGGAAAGTGCGGGAACCCGAAAATCAAAAGAACCTATCGCAATTGGTTCTTCAAACACCCGCCGGATGGTCCGACATCGGATATTGACGATCACCGGAAACCGATACCCAAGGCGCTATGCAAAACTGGAACATCTATGTGGGGGATGTCCCAATGGTTAGAGCACGAATTTACTGACCGGAAGGTCCGTGGTTCTAACCCGACCTTTGCATCTCGACTTCCCCCACCTAGACTTGGGCAAACTGGCGGCTTCCTTCTGGTGGTATGCTACGTAGACACCGGAATGGTGGTACAGCTTAACGGTACAAGACACCCGACCGCATTGGATCTCTGATAGGACCGCGGCGACAGCTCAACTTGATGCATCATACAACGGCATGTGAAACTGAGTGTCCGTGCAGACCAGAAAGCTTAGGGGACACAAAAGGCAGAAATGATGGAAGCGAAAAATCCGCAGCCAGTCCCACTTGATTTGCTCGATTGATCCTCGGAAGCCTCCTGGTATATCAACTAGCAGACACCAAAATGACATACCCAGCAAAGGAGAACCTTTGGATCGTGTGACACAAAATTCTGAAGAACCCAGCTAGCCACCTGTTACGCCATTGCTGACTTTCAACAAACATGGACTGCGAATATGGAATCCTCTTTAACCTTAGAAGTGTCTGAGTGTGTATCACTACTCCAACGTCATCGCCCTCCCGGCCCTGATGACGTTCCATTCGCTGTGTTCAGCCAATTCCTGTGTAGCCTATTTACGTCTATCTGAAAGAAAGGGAACGACCCGCATAATTGGGACGAGTCGATAATAGTGTCCGTTTTCAAAAAGGGTACTCACAGTCAATGTAACAGCCACATAGGCGTCAGTTTGACTCTCGTAACAAAACTTCTGGCACCACTGACGTCCTCGTACGGCGGGACGCGAAGCATTGACCCGTGGGCAACAACCGGGATTTCGAGTGGGTAGCGGTTGCGTCGGCTACAACCCCACACTCCGTCAGCGGTCAGAGCAACGCCATATATACCTGTGCGTCCGACCTTAGACACCGCGTACTCTGTTTTCAAACCTCACTCAAGGATCACATCCTAAAGCAATCAGATCAACAATCGGCTCTCGTTCATACGCTGAATTCCCTCTGTATCGATATATGCTGTCTGTCAGAAATTAGGATGCAGGAGGCAAGTACTGTGATTGAACTGACTGCTCCCTCGCTCTCTTCCAGGTTTCGGGAGCGGTTCTGGTTATGCGGACACCACTGTAGCTGGATACGCTGAGGGTGGGTATTATATTCAGAGAGTGACTCTGCGTGGTACATTTGACGACGTCGGGAACACCAGAGTCGACTTCCAACACGCAATTATCGGCCGCTTCATTTTCGCTGTGCTTTTCAGGATCACGCAAAACGCGCACACCCGGCTTAGCTGCTGGAAAGTGCGGGAACCCGAAAATCAAAAGAACCTATCGCAATTGGTTCTTCAAACACCCGCCGGATGGTCCGACATCGGATATTGACGATCACCGGAAACCGATACCCAAGGCGCTATGCAAAACTGGAACATCTATGTGGGGGATGTCCCAATGGTTAGAGCACGAATTTACTGACCGGAAGGTCCGTGGTTCTAACCCGACCTTTGCATCTCGACTTCCCCCACCTAGACTTGGGCAAACTGGCGGCTTCCTTCTGGTGGTATGCTACGTAGACACCGGAATGGTGGTACAGCTTAACGGTACAAGACACCCGACCGCATTGGATCTCTGATAGGACCGCGGCGACAGCTCAACTTGATGCATCATACAACGGCATGTGAAACTGAGTGTCCGTGCAGACCAGAAAGCTTAGGGGACACAAAAGGCAGAAATGATGGAAGCGAAAAATCCGCAGCCAGTCCCACTTGATTTGCTCGATTGATCCTCGGAAGCCTCCTGGTATATCAACTAGCAGACACCAAAATGACATACCCAGCAAAGGAGAACCTTTGGATCGTGTGACACAAAATTCTGAAGAACCCAGCTAGCCACCTGTTACGCCATTGCTGACTTTCAACAAACATGGACTGCGAATATGGAATCCTCTTTAACCTTAGAAGTGTCTGAGTGTGTATCACTACTCCAACGTCATCGCCCTCCCGGCCCTGATGACGTTCCATTCGCTGTGTTCAGCCAATTCCTGTGTAGCCTATTTACGTCTATCTGAAAGAAAGGGAACGACCCGCATAATTGGGACGAGTCGATAATAGTGTCCGTTTTCAAAAAGGGTACTCACAGTCAATGTAACAGCCACATAGGCGTCAGTTTGACTCTCGTAACAAAACTTCTGGCACCACTGACGTCCTCGTACGGCGGGACGCGAAGCATTGACCCGTGGGCAACAACCGGGATTTCGAGTGGGTAGCGGTTGCGTCGGCTACAACCCCACACTCCGTCAGCTGTCAGAGCAACGCCATATATACAGACCAGCCATACTCTTCATTTTCCTTTACTTCAAAGGTGCGTTCCATTCTGTCGATCAGCCAGTGCTGTTAACCATACTTGCTCAACAGGATATGCCCTCAAAGTTCGTGATGGTGTACAGTGAGCCCCTTAAAAGTTTCCCCAGAAGTAGTGTCCGGCAAGGATGTCCAATCTATCCATTCTTGTTCAACTTCTGCACTGAGGAAATAATGAGGCGAAAGCTGAAAATTCGTCTAAATCCTGGTGGTCAAATCGCTGCTAGTGGGAAATTTATGCATTTAGAGTACGCAGACGTCATCGCTCTCATCTTTGACAACTAATGGGAAACAGAAGTTTAGTTGAATACTCTGACCACCATCATACCGTCTTCCGCTTAACTAGAAACTTCAGAGTGGTAATAAATGCTTCAGAGCGTGCAGTCACTGGACAGACCCCTTTCAGTCCAAGTCGAAGTATTAGAGTTTGTGAAGAATTTTAAACACCTCGATCGTTGTATTAGCTCCGACGTGAGTGAGGTCAGAACACGAATCTCAAAGGCCCAAATCACATTTGTCGGCTTGCGTCATTTGTGGTGATAAAACGGCATTTCACTGGCTGTCAAGGGTCGCATGGACTAGGCTACGATAATGGCTGTATTACTGTAAGGTTGCGAGAAATGACCTCTGCGGACAGATGATGAGGCGTCTTCAGGTTTTTAACATTGACGCCTCAGAAGCGTTGAGGGCGTCAACGAATTTGTAACGATGTTAGTAGGAAGCGGGTGTGTGGTTGTGCGGCAGGTACTTCAAGCGCAGAAAACATAAAAAATTAACAGCAGTGGATCAGCCATGCTCTATGCGTGCCAAAACAGTCTAACGGGACCAGTATAGTTCTCTGTGCCTCCTTCAGGACTGCGTAAAGTGCGGGGTGAACAAAAGTATGACTCGACAGAAGGGTGTGAAGGAAATTCTGAAGAGTTTAGGTATTGTTGGTGCGGTCCGCTACCCATGATAGGGTCCCCATTACCCCTCCTTGGCTTGAGACATTGCAAGAAATGGAGGTCAATGTCAATTGATGCCAATAACGTTCGTGTTTTCAGTTGTTTCCCAGACTGTTTGACTAAGCGCTTGGAGGTGTAGACGCCCTGCGCAAAGTACTGTGCAGACCTACTTTCAACTACTTAGCTACAAAAATAAAACGCAAGAAAAAGGCAACTTTCTTTAAATCGAAGGGAGAATAGCAACTCCAAAAGTTTCTAGTGAACCAACAAGGTCGCAAATACATTACGAAAAAGTTTAAAATGGGTAAAAAGTTTCCTGCATCAACTGAGAAAACAAAAACCTAGTGGTAGTGAAATACGAAGCCCTCATGAAGTTTTGTTCGCTTTTGTCGAAAAACATGTCCACTGTAGCACAAAACTTTTCTGAATAGAACTCGTACTGCAGATGAATTTACATAAGCGTTTCCATGTATTTTGAAACTTTTTAGGTAATAATCTTTTGACCTGGAATTCCATCAAACGGACTGTACCAACGGACCAAATGGGTAAATGGAAAACGGTGTTACTAAGAGCAACCTGGTACAAGCTCTGAAAGTTATCCAACCAACTGAACAAGAGTGTTGTACCTAAAATACTTGTTTCTTATACGATTCAGATGAATATGTTTTGTAGGGTGTCCCCTGAAGTATGGTGGTCCATGCAAAAACTAAATGGCGGAAACTAATTCTCTCATGCGAAGATAACTCTCCAAAAGAGCGATTTATTGTACAAAGCGTCGTACCTTTTTCGTACTGGTGAAATGATGTAATTTAGTTGCATAGTCACGATAAATCCCGCAGAAAGTGCCTCCCGAATGTCGACAACAAATCAGGACAAGAAAAGGTTCAAATGTACATCAACAAAGGTAGACTCCTACAAGAAGAAACAAGAGTTGATCACGCCACTCACTTGAATAAAACTTTGAATTGTTTTCAATGAAGAACTGGCCGTTCTATTTGCCACATCCTTGTGTTTTTCTGTTTGCGATGCCGCCACGAGACAGTTGAGAAAAAAGCCCACTAAATCACTCTCTAATAAGAGTGATTTGTTCGGTTCCAGTAGAGGTATAATGTTCCGAAAAAGTGTCACCAAAGTACCGGAACAGAGCAACGAGCCAATCATTGCTGAACCTTCAAAGATTGAACGACCACCATTCATGCATGCCGCAAGTCGAATAGCGGCGGACAGCACAGCAGAGGCCAGCTGACTAGTGGAATGGTTTTCATGTGCGACTTCATGCACGACTTGCTCGCTGATAGAGTTGAAAACGAAGATGACGGCCTCAAGTTCCTGTGGAAGTCAACAAGAGATGTAACGCAGGAAAAGCCAAGGGTGCACTTTCCTACAAAACTATCGTCAAATAAATGGGTTATTGTAATAATTCCTCTCTGTTCCTGATGAAGAAAATTCTGGTTAATATAGCACTTGGAAACTAAACGTGACAAATTCTAGATCAGACTGATTTGATGGGACCGACCAGAATTCTCAGTAGCAAACCTTTTGAGGTCGGCATCAAGGCAAACTCACAATAGTAGGGAAAACTGTAAACTCGTTAAGTTAACATCCGCCTGGTCATGACAGTCTTATCATTGTATCTAACAATTGACGGTCCCCACAGCTCTGTGTCACTAAAGCGTCCGAATATCACACATGAGGCACGCTTTCATCGACAAATTTAACCTCATCAACAACTCCGTCAGTTTCAAGCGACCACTATATCACTCCAGTGAGGGATAACAACACAAATGACCACCCCTAACATGTATCCAATTGTGTTTTACGGGAATAGGAAATCACACAACCTGCCAGTCTGAGAGCGCCTCCTCCATTACGTAGCGATCCACTAGGTTCCGAAGCCTCGCCTGAAGCTGTACGAAAAATGGAAGCGACGGTTGATGGGCATAAGCAGCAAGGAAAGTATCCGCCAGTTCTGATCGCAATCTGTACCACTCTTCTCGTTGTTCTGATTGCCAACAATGAAAGAATGTTCCCAGGTCAGGCGTAAACCGACACTGATATGAAGTAGGGACAAAAATAAAAAAACTAATCAGAGAGACATTAGAGCTCAGCGTGACAATGTTTCACCCGCTGCCTAAATGGTATGTTGATATCGAAAGAGTTACCTAGCCCTCAGGCTTCCAGCAAGAACGTTTTAGTTGAGGATATCATTCATTAAACGACCTAGCATTAGGCGCACTAGACGTATTGCGACTTCTGCAGCTATGCAGTTTCCGAATAACAAACTAATTATTTCGCACGGTTCAGTTTCATCCCGATTCGACGTCCCGACTATGAAGCTGAAATCTGAACAACCCCATGAATGGCAATCGCCTCAAGCATGCCAACTAATTCCTGTGTTACTGGGAAACGGTACGACATAGAGACGACGGCACGTTAAGAATAATCATCACTATCACCAATAAGAACCGCGCACTTGTCTTAAAGTGGTCATAGCTGCCAAAGTTCCGTTCACCGATGATTTGGGGAGGTGGGGTAGGCAGCTGAGCATTGGAGGCGGGATATTATACAACTGGTGCGTAAATACAGGTTGTCAGTGGACTTCTAAATGGGGAGATTAGGAAGGGAGTTATGCATTAGACGCAGGAGTGCCATTGAGGGCACGACTGGGCCATGTCTGACAATGTCTCTAGCCACCGAAGCGCCCCGTCTCAGGGTCCCCATCCGGGGAGACGGAGATTACCAACGTGGCTGAGTTTGCTGGTAATGGCTTTCGTACTTCACGTAGTCGTGCGAAAAAAATCTTTGGAGGAAGTCGGTCGACTGGTATACGCAACAGGTGGGCAAGCCAGTGCAATTCATGCAGTGTGATCACTTCATCTCTCGTGGGTGAGTTGGTTTTTCCGAAGACCATCCCACACACTTCAGCGTTCCTGATGCAGTAGAAACACCAGCAAAACTCGGGCAATGCTCCGAAGGCATCGATGGTCAAAAAGTGAAAGTCCTTTGGTGTTCTCAGTGTGCAGTGGCCAGGTTTCTGACCCGTATAATAATAATAAATAATAATAATATGGAGCGCGCCGCAGCATCACAAACTAGACCCTTGAAGGATGATCTATTGTCACACCTTCGCTACGCGGGATGCAGCCTCATGAAAGCTCTTATGGCCTTCCGAACCCGGAGGGAAATGTCTTTCGCAAGACCACAGGGACTGATAAAACTGCCCAGATTGGCAAATTTGTCTACTACATCATTCGGCTCATCCACAAGCGTGACGTTAGGGTCAGAGCCCACCTAATCTTGTAGTAGCTCTTTACATTGCAGATGCCAAACAACGAGACAGAATTATTAAGGTTCCCTAATACTGTTCGTATTACGACGACATCATATCTACGAAAAGCTATGTCGTCTGTGCACTCGATAACTGTGAGCGAACGTCCCTAGATCGCCAAGAATTCTCTGCCTACGAAGAGGGCTGGATAGAGACCCTCCGGTCCTGGTGCCTACTCATGTTTCAGTGCAGATTTTTCATGCTTCATTTCTTCCGACGAACAATTAAGGTTTACATTCCACTTGCCCGCATGCACTACCTCCATAGGCTGTGTTGTAGGAGGCCAGCTAAACAGTTTTTTCGAAGTGTTCGGCCCATCTTTCCAGTCGGCCTTTTTGCCAGTAAATTAATGAGGCACCTTTTTCACTGACTGTTGCTTCCCTAGAGCCAGTCGATCGTACCAACTAATATATGGCACAACTGTTTCCGGTAACAAATGACTTCTCCATCTACTGAGATTTCGATGTCCACCAGAGCTCTCGATCTTTCCTTCGACCCTTCACTATTTGGCGTCTGACGAATTTGCGTGTGCCGTCGTACTCGTTGCCTGTTGGTATGGATTTCCTGGCATCAATGGGCACTAGCGATCTCGATTGTATTGATTGTATCAGAGAATTCGGACAGAGCACTGAACGCCGGTAGCATAGCTCATTTCACATTTTATGATGCTTACTCCACGTACTGGCTACCAGCATAGTGTTTGTTTACTAAAGAGGGTTGTTGGGCTAGCTCAAAACAATCACAAAACTTAGGGACATCTTCAAAATTATAGTTCGGACTATACTAAGAGGACGTGTGTTGATGTCATCATTATTAACGAACGGATCGATATCAAACAGAAAATACGGTAACTGCAAGAATGGGAACTGTACTCCTATTCCGGCAGACAGAAGACAAAAAAGTCGGACGATGGGTGATTGATGACACATTCGAAGAAATCAATATTGAAACCTTGGGAATATACCGTAGCGGCTGAGTTACGTGTTTCAAACGTGGAGAGACACTACTATCCAGGTGGAAAAAAGAGCCACCAAAGGAAACGATGAAGAATAATACCTTGGAGAATGCAGCATTTAAAAAGCGGCATTGTAGATCTTCTATGAACGACAATGTTGATTGATTTAGTTGAGGTGCTTCGCAGATTGGCGGTAGAGCATCGACCACATTGAACCAGACCTGAACACCCAGATCACTAACTGACTCCTCAAGTGGATAATTTCCCGCCAACGACATCGGGAAAAGGAACATGTCAAATAGCATGTGAATTGCACTATGAGGTTCTCCTGCCTGAAAGACGCGCATCCAAAGGTTACCCATCTGAAACAGATTGAAAACGCTACGAAGTGCTGTGGAACGGATAGTGCTATCCAAAACCTGAATTAAATCTATATGCCTAGGAACGCTGCAGCACAGTGATTCACGAAAGGACTAAGGCGGAAAAGTCACTAAGAAGGTTTTACGGGGTATAATTTCAGTCAGTCGGTCAATCACTTAGCTTTTTGTGATTGATCGTCCGCGCGTTTAATGGCAATAGTAGTGCACGAGGTTCGCTGTTTTGGTTAGTTTCTGTGTGATTGCCAGTGCTATTTATTGTTTGGATTACAAGGTTTTCTCTCTCGATTCATGGAAGAATTGTCTCAAATGCTTCTGCACATGAATGGCCTTCATTAGCATGTGAGGATTGGGTGTTCAACTTGGTCAGCGATTTGCTAGCTGGTTGGAGTTCTGGCACAACCATGCACGTCCTACTACAGCCCACCCTGAGCAAACAAAATTTGCAGTTATATCTAACTAACGAATAGGTATGGAACAAGGCACTACGGCTGCATACTCTAAAACGTTTACGATCGAAGTTCGGTGGCAATGAACATACTTAAATACACAGTCAATGACTACAATTTACAGATCGATTGTCTTAGGTAAATATACATGTGGGCAGGGTCTTGCATTGTACTTTAAGAACGGCTGTGTGAGTGGTGAGTACGTAACAGTTTGAGCTAAAGAAGCGTACTAGGTCTTTCCAGTGTTCAACTCCACTTCTCGAGGGGAGGGTCAATGAAATATGCGATTGCTTCTAACGCACAAGGAATCATGAGCCACATGAGCCTAGTGGCCTTTACTGTAAGGTGCGAAACTCGAACGGATGCGAAAACTCACTTTCTGGAAACAGATAACTACTGGACGACATATGTACATATTTCTCCTAGCTAAGACTTGGGCTAGGTTCAGTTACGCGTAAAACCCCAAAAGTCAAATTGTTCAAGTGAAGGTTAACCAACAAATGCGGTAATATGAATACGGCAGTGAAGCATCAGTGCCAACACTGATGTTGCTGTCATTGATGATGATGATGATGATGAATAGAATAATGAAATTGTGCAAGCCTCGAAACGGCAGCTTCTATACACCAGTTTAGGAACAGCTAATTCCTAACGGGATTCCAAAGTTCACACCGACTCGAGGCAAGGTGGCCACGACATAGCAAAATCCATTTCTTGATTTAAACAAGTGTGATGATAACGTCAAAGAGTGGGTTACGTTCAGGCCGGAAACAAGAAAGGTGACATAGGCACAAAACCTAAACGAAAAGGAAGAATAAACAATCTGCGACAAGGCTGGAAAAATGATTGGTGAATGACTGAGCGTGTAAAACCCTCAACCTGGTATTGTTACACTCGTTGTAAAGATTTTATCCATGATTCTCAGTATATACCACAATTAATTTGCGGATTTTTACTCAGGAAATCTATTAAGCAGATGAGAGACTTCACCAGATCACAGCCATTTTATCAACGATGAGATGAGCTCACTGCATGGGTCAGTTGCATTAAACTATACGTACTCACCTGTCTCTCCGTCAGTGTTAAAATCAGTAGTGCCGTCTTTGACATCAATTCGTTCTGTGCGAACTCCTCCCAACGAAAGCCACGATGAACAGCAGCTGAATGAGCTTCAACCAGTCGCATCACCGATGGCTGTAGCCCTGCTAATTTTTGAATGTGAAAGTCCAGTAACTGGGCCGTATCTCGGCCTGAACTAAGGAAAAATAAGTAACAGGATTAGAGCTCCTGGTAATAAGGAGCAGAGAATGGGTCGGACGGAACGGGATGCGGTGCTTTTGTGTCCAACGGAAGCCAAGTGGGATGACTACATCCACGTAAGGTATACGCCGGATGACTAGTCATCTAAATACTCGACAGAAAGACAAAGATATACATCCCCAAATCTACTTTCACTTCACGTCAAAATTCTAGGTATCAGATTTGTACCGCAATGTATCCTCCCAAATTATGCCCGACAATTCAAATGGTTTTGAACAGTAACTTGAAACATAAGTGCACTCAGAAGAGTTGATAAGTACACCGACACGTGAAATGTTATCATTTAATCTACCTGTCTGCCACCGAGGTAAGCCATTCAGGTTAAGAGCTGAATCATAGTATAAACACTGAATCAAATGACATAAGACTGGGATGGGATAGGAGCAACCTGTATGAGCAGAACGCTACCCAGCAACTGATCACCATGGAAAGTATTGGTAAGGAGGGTTCGCAGCAAGGCATGAATGTCTCCTCACTACTTAAATGACGCCTTTGTTGAGTCGGTCTTGACCCCATTCGTTTGCTTACTCTGCCTATGTACTTTTGATCCCCAGTTGTTGTGCTTATCCGTTCCTGCCACACCTTGCCGCAGAGGCTGTCCTGTCCGAACTTGTGTACTGGCATGTGTGTCTGGGTGTGAATATGCGCTGCTGTCTGTGTTCATGTCCTCTTTGCCGAGCCTACATTGACTTGTTTTCCGTGTGGTTGTAGGGTCACGAGACTGTCGTCGGAAGGGACGACCGCAACCCACACTATTGAGCCATCATTCCGTTTGCCGTTGTTTGGTGTGCGGATGTTGACACTGCACTGTGCCGGTCAGTGACAGACCTGTGCATTCGTCGACGCTACGAACGTGAACAAATGAGGCTTGCTGTACACATTTGCCTATCCTTTTGCAAACAGTATCGTAGAATTACAAACCCAATTCTTCCTTTTAATATTCAGGATTGTCGAACCTACGCGTCACTCGAAGTTCCTTGTCCGGAACCTCAACAGCCTTATTCCATTAAATCCGACGACTGACTGTTCACAGTAGGCCAATACAGTGAGGTTTTGATGCGCTTAGGATGTGTATTTATGTAGTGCTGGTACCTATCCGTTTTTACACTCAGTTCGCAGGTGCACAATCAATGGGGCTGCCAGCCACGTGCAAGCCGTTTGTGTCATCTCAGACACCCGATAGTGTAGCGACTGTTGATGTTAACATCCGGTACCGACTAATCCCCAGTAGGTCTTCTTGAGTGGGACAACAGAACCTTCGACAAACAACAGATACTACTGAACTACAGTGGCTACACAGTGTTCTTAGGATACACCGGACGTACCTGAGTCCGAAATCACCTTCCTCAAAGAGGTTGATTAGGCAATCCAAACCGGCGGAGAAGAGTAATTCTGAACGGTTAATTGGACCATAGAGGGCACGAGCGAAATTGAGACAATCTGTCGCACCTGTTGTGGCAGACAGATTGGTCAGCCACAGTGAACAGCAGCGAAACACGCTGGCCAAGAGGGCTTCGTTTGTTTGTGAGGTCATAAGCTCCTATGACGGAAAATGACAACAAAGTCAGATGAATCCTGGTTAAGGGGGATGGGAAAAATAGCAACGAAATTTTGGAACGATACACACGAGTCGCATCTTTGCCACCAGAGACTAATTCCTAACGCTACTTAGTTTACAATAGCCATATGGAAGGACCAGGGCGGAGCACAAATAATGATGGCACTAGCTTATGGCGAGAACAGTCATCATCATCAGAGACAGCTGCAAAGGTGTTGCTGCTGATGCTTCACTACCATTCAGCCACATTTACTTAATTGTACCTAAAGCTTTAGAATAAACAGCAGAGGAAAGGGTGGCTGAAGGAGGGACCTCGTGCTGGCCTATCGCAAGCATTCTGGGATGCTTCACCTACAAGTGTTTAATCAGACATTCTGAAAGAAAACTGACAGCACGAACGCCACTGATATCGATCAGCCGCTATTTTCAGCCGAGCGCAGGGGGTGGTCATTGAAGTTTCAGCAAATATTACGTCGCTTTGTTACTTTAGCTAAAACTTATCAATGTTGATTACTGCAAGATTCACAAGTAATTAATGGCGAAGTTCGGCCTGTGACCAGGATATGTCTGGGCATGCAGCTGGCCACTGATGTGTACTGTTTGGGATACGCATTCAGGTTAATAGTTCAGGTAGTTCAAATGATGCATCATCATCAACATCGACAGCATGACACTGTGACCAGGGTCTGGGCATGCAGCTGGCCACTGATGTGTACTGTTTGGGATACGCATTCAGGTTAATAGTTCAGGTAGTTCAAATGATGGATGATCATCAACATCGACAGCATGACATCAGTGTTCAACACCGATGCTTCACTATCGTACAACCATGACTTATTTGAAAGCCTTATTGTAAAGAAAAGAATAAAGGTGGACGGGAAAGGGACTTAGTGCTAGCTTAACACAATCATTCCGAGGTGCCTACACCTCCAGACATTCACTCAGGCAATCTGGATAGAAACTGACAACAAGAAC